AAAATAAACATAAGAGGCTAGATAACAAGTAATAGACTCTTGGACTGCGTAACGAATGTTGAGAAAGAAGTGTCCAGACAGGAACACTTTTTGTGTTTGCTCACTAGTATTCTGTTTTTACTCTTTAACGGAAAGAAAGTAAAATAAGGTGAGATGAAGAGGGGATGGGGCTCGTTGGCCGAGGCAAGACGGATGAAAGGCTGAGGGAAAGAGATCTGAGCAGAGTAATTTTGAACAAGACTGATAAGGGACAAACGAAAGGATAACAAAAGCGAAGTTCGAAATACATGAGGAGAAATGTTTAATTTTTTTCTCCAAATTACAGTTCGTAAATGAACTACGCAGTCCAGTGCCTGGGGGTTTCCAATTAGACCAGTTTCGGATTCCACATTATTTTCTTTGACCCCCTCCGTCTCGAATGTTCGTATTCATAAGGGATTCCGTTGTTGAATCGGGTAGCCTTTCACCACCCAGAGCAAGCCCCTATCTCCCACGGTGCCGGACGCTACGAAAATGACCTTTCTGTCTACGAACTCTCAGAGTGATATTGAGCTATCGCCAGATAGTATTGTGTAGACTTTGTCACGAGTAGGGTCTAATACCACGTGGGCAAGAGTACATAAAGGCATCTTTGTAAGCCGCCCGTCCAGGGGACCTTCCCAGCACAGTTGCAAGCAAATCTCTCCCTTTCACGAACAAGCAGTGAGATGCTGATTTATAGCCCGGTTGGTGGGTCGGACTTGAGGGGAAAAACAGTTTCTGCTAGGTGGACATCGCTGTGTGGACGTAGCGGGTTTGAAAATTGAGAATTAATAAATGGGTCGAGGACTGCTGGGGTGTCCTCAGAATGGTGCAGAATATCAGGGTGACACTGCGTGCATGCAAGAACAGGCGATCTAAAAAAGTAATCAAAGCTTTTTGTAATTTCAGTGAGAACCCCCGCTTGCCGAATGTACAATGGTACATATATTTGATATCCGGACAGTAGTGACATTTTGTAATTAGTTTATTATATTCAGAGTGTGGGAACTTTTGACCGGTATAGAACAGATCTATGACTCACTGGTGGCTCAGAATGATTCGTGGCATATAGGGAAAGGTTGCACTCTTTATTTAGCACGAAGATCAGGATCATAGCAGAGGCAATATAACCATAAAGACTGCTGACACCTTTAACATAACGTTCTCGGAAATCATCAGGCAGTATTTCATGGGCTTCTTTAGAATAATCTTTGCTTTTTTATATTCGTATTTAGGAATTATAACAATCTCTAAAAATAGTTTCCAAAACATAATAATAATAATAATAATAATAATAATAATAATAATAATAATAATAATAATAATAATAATAATAATAATAATAATAATATTGTAGACAAAACAAGGAAAACATGATGCACAAGAAAACGTTATCGACAATGCTTAGAAAAAGACTAAGACATTACATGGCAAGTCTGTTTAATCCTTTTGGACATTTGAACATTTTAACTATGGGCACAACTTCTGTGATCTGTAGTTCTTTTGGGTATACTAAGACATTTAATAAATACTGCAAGCAAAGTGACCAAAGCACACAACTTGCTAACGATTCAAGTCTTTTCGCGTTCCTATTACAAGGACTACATTACAACAGAAAACTTTCCAGTTGCCGAGGGAAAAATGTAAGACTGGCGGATACTACAAAAACACTAAAACAGATTGACATCCAACCCTCCGCGAGACTACTTAAATACAAATCTTTAAAGAAAACAGAAACGTCCAAACCTCCATACAGCCGTTGTTCTCATTAGCGTCCAACAGAGGGATCCAGGCAGCAGGCTGAAGGACACTGTACGAGTCGTTGTCCAGGTAGGCGCTGTCTGAAACACATACGTGGAACTTAAAGCAGGCTCCGAGGATCACAAGAACAGAATGATAGTACCTTCGAGAGGATGCTAAGCTGTTTTTCTGGCACGGAAAATAAGGAAATAACAGTAATATTTCACCAGGAAGTAGGTAGGTTTAAGTATAATATGCATGTCAATGTATAGTACACTAAATGTAAAAACAGACAAAAACCTGCCAATCAATTGAAAACTACTTCTTTCAAAATTCTTTCATTGTTCTACCGTCTATGACTGTTGTCCACGGGGTTTTCATGTCAAGAAAGGGGCATTTGTCTGGGGTGCTAGTCGGGCGACCAGACTTTATGGGACTCTGTATGATCTAGGTGTCCTTGACTCCATGCAGCCATGTCTTTCTTGGCTGTCCACTTGTTTAATTGCTATTGATTTTCGTATTTTGTCAAGGCATTGTCAGAAAACATATAGCAAAAATAAATACTCTTGTCAATGAAGTCCTTGCATAAAAATAAGCAACAACAAAAAAAGAAAAAGTCACAGTCATAGTGTACAGCAGGCATCCCTTCTAATCAAAGGCTTTTACAGCTGTGGAAAAGAAGAAATACATGTACCTTTCCCAATGTTGCACCATACTCGGTGGAGCTAACAATAAAGTCAATAACAAGTCCAATGTCATAACGCATGCCACGGACACATACAGAATGGGGCAGGGAGACAGAAACCAGGAGACATAGGGGAAAACTGTGACGACATAAACTGCTCTGCACTGGGGAATACATGTACTATTTATTTCCTGAAAAAAAGAGCCATACAACATGTTAAACGTGAAAACGTTATTTCCTTTCAGAATCTGGCCCTAAAACAGGGTGGAAATTGGAGAAATGAATGATTATGATACTCGGTCTATCTAGCATACTGCCTAAGCTACTGAAACTGCATCAACCCCACCACAAAGCCAAATGTCTACTCACCCTGATGCCAAGGCACGGTGGTCGCCTCGTTTTGTGGTGTCTTGGTCCGGAGGTTCCACACCGGATGACCTACAATCTCTGGACCAATCAGCTGCTCCACCACATTCAACAAGCGCTCATTGGACCACAAGTCCCGGAAGCTCTGAGAACGATTATAACTTAAGTTTTGAATGCATTTGCGTGAGGCACACTCTCGAACGATAAACTTTTACCCAAAGTCTTCCCTCGAACAATGTTCAATGAACGATTTTTCTTTGATGTAATTTCTTTTTCGATTCCAACAGCACCAACAGTATCAAATATTCGAGATTCTTAGTGTTGCCATGAGACAACAAACAGTTTTGTATAGACCGAAAACAACTTCATGACCACAACTTTAGATTTGCGATCTTTCTGAGCTGTGATCGCTGAGGTCGCTGGGTAGAAACAGTTCATATATTTGGAAATCAAAAGAATGTTTTAACTCGGGGATCTGTCTCAGTGCTATATCCAAAGATGAAAACGCTCACAATGAGGATATGGGGTATTGACTGTGTGAATACTAGTATCGAATCACTACAGTATCGCCACAAGAAGTTCGTCTTTCCAAAGATTTTCAAACTAAGGAATGAGAACAATTAATAGGCTTGTCGTTAGAGGATGCACCCATTGCATGTATGACGGGATAAAACGTCATTTCGTCATGTTTGAGGTAAAAGTATAAAGATTAATTTTGAACGACAGCCGCACAGAAAAAGAAGTTGAGGCGCATGCATAGGAGTGTTATTTCATAACACGTGCTCTGTAAACAGAACGTAGAGCTCTGTCCAGAACGAAGATCCCATTTGAACAAAATTTCTGCTAAAGGCACTCTTGGATTGTTTGCTTGTTTGAGTAAAAGGAAGCACGGCGACACAATAGCAGTCGTTCATTCCAGCAAAAAGAACAGATGGGAAGACAGGAAAAAGGCACCCCCCCCCCCCCTCCAAACCACCCGTAGCGAAATCGTGTGTGAGCAAGAATTCAGATCAGTCAAGAAAAAGTAAATATGATGCCATCAGACATGTGTGTTCCCTTTGAGCCCATTTTTTTAAAATATAGATCCTGGGTAACAAAATTCAGAAGTGTTATCGGTATTAGTGTGGTTTTTTTAGTTTTTAATCCAACGATCTTCAGGTTCATGCACTTCCGCCCCAAGGAGAAGCAGATGACTTTAAAAGTTTTGTTTGTTTTCATCCTAGTCTTTTTTAGTATTTAATTAAAGTAATCTTCATAAGCAGTTATTTACTGCAGTCCGTTTCAGCTGTTTTACAACAAAGTCTTTGCAAGAAGAACCTTGGTGCTGCAAGGGGTGTTGTCATTGCAGAGGTGGAGAGGAACATTCTGAAACATGTGTTTATGTAAAGTTTTATTTGCTGAAAGTTTCATATAAAAAACACGTTTACATTTAGTGCTGGCATACAAGTAGAGATCAGGGAACTGTCAAAAAAGGGATTGCACTTTTGCGTTTGTTTTGTAATAAAAGTTACATACACCACGATCTTTACAGCCTCAGGATCGTAATGCCTAAATTGCTTTCTATATCTCTATGATTTGAATTTCAATGTATGTTCCCAGGAAAACGAAGAAGTGAGTTCAAGTGAAGATAGATAAAAGTAACGTATAAGAGACATGTGTGTCTCTTGTCATGAGCAATGTTCAGTGCATTGCACAGAATGAAGCCGACAAGAGGACAGAAGAGGAACACGTTTGACTCTGGCTGTCCAAACAATAGAAACTAGGTCAAAGCAGTACACGTGAATATAGTATGGCACAAGTCATTCTTCGTAAAGCGAAACCAAGCTAAGGCCTCCACAACAATCAACGCATGGGCATTGCAACGTATCAAAAAAGGCAAAAGGCACACATTAAATTACCCTACATGTACATTCAAAAGTGAAAAAAGCAAAGACAACTCCGGTGTAAAAAGTAAGCTACTACGAACAAGCACAGAGTACAGAAATAAAGTCAAAAAACAAAAAGCAAAAAGTAATGACAAGGCACAGTGTCTATATTACCTGAGCAATCTTTCCCTGTTTATGGAGAATGATATTGGTTCCTGGGAATTCTTTTTCAAGGTACGTCAGTCTCTGAAAGAGACCCTTGTCCGTGTGTAGATCTGGAAAAGCACCACACAGATCTTTGACACTTGCAAACTCTACATCAAAGCTGGTCACGTTCAGTGAGCTGTCCCACATATCTTTCTTCATTTCTTGTGAGGGTACACCTCACCACAAAACTAATAAGCATGAGTAATATGGGGTGAGAATTTTTTTTTTTAAAGAAAAAAATGAAAAAACAACAACAGCGACAGATATCTTTGTTTAAATAGCTAAAACACCTACACAGAATCGAAAATTAGATTGCAACATTAGTAGCAGCGAAAAAGATGTATTCATAATCTCTCTCTCTCTCTCTCTCTCTCTCTCTCTCTCTCTCTCTCTCTCTCTCTCAAAAGGGTTAGATCTATAATAGGCATATGTACACGGTCTTATCACAATAATACTACATATTCAAATTTTCTTCCGTACAACATGAGTATGTTCAGTTTTCAAAAAACCTCGCTGGTAAAATTAAAGAAATCCACAGAAGAGGTTTCTGGATAAACAATGAGAAATCTGTCCTGTGGACCCTCATCAATGATTTATTAATAGAGGCACCAGCCATCCATGTCCAGGTGCTGTTTTAGCCAATTCTAGCCCGTTTTGTGGACACAAACTCTGAAACGGCAACAAAGGTCCCACTGCTGGCAACTGGCGTGCAAGTGCTGGCGACAATAAGAATATTTGTTACATTTATTTAAAGAACTTGTTTTATTTATTTCATCTTTAAGTACAGGAAACTATTACAATAACAATTATTGTTACTGTGATTTACTATTTGATTAAAAATAATCCTTTCAACAAACAGAAGTCTTACTAAAACTATCTTTGCATCTGCAACTAATAAAATAAGTCTTAAAGTCTTTTGCAAAGGGAATATTTCAATGCTATATAATTGGTCGCTTTTAAGCGCAAGGGGGCTATCCTGAAAAATGTTGTTTTGAGAAAATCAAAGGTAAAGTTTTTGGACCCGTGTTCAGTTTCTTTAAAAAACAAGGAGAGTTTTCTCTATAAACAAAAAATATACCCACCAATGAAACCAAACTTCTCCTAGGGGCTCTCGTGGCCTTGAGGTGTTGGCCTCTCATTCAAATGTCCCGGGCTCGAATCCGGGTAGGGACCGAACAATTTTCTTCTCTAAATTTGTCTTCTTTCACCTCCTTTCCTGCTCTCTAGCAATGTTCTGTCGTCTGCTTTCGTCTCCTCTTTCTGCCCCCACTCCCTCATCTCCTTTGCCCCTGTCCTCTGAGCTCCTGATTCTTTCTACAGCCTTTCTACTGCTACTCCTTGGCTTCTTCTTACTGCTGTCTTTCAGCCCCACCCCTGATCTTCTGTTTG